TGGGTACAATAAAAAGTTACCCTTGTAATGAGGTTAAAGTGGAATTCCAGGCAAAAGCTACCTTTTTTTTTTTCATCAAGGAACTTTGGCCTGGTTGTCTACAGCTTAATGTCTGGTAAACGAGTGGCTTCAGACTTGTCTAAATGATAAAGGAGGGACAGTTGGGCTGCCAGGTAGTAGGAATAAAAATCAGGAAGGGCCGTCAACATGGTCAGATTATTAGGTGTGAGCCAGGGCAGTTTATGCCCACCTGATCTCCAAATAAATGTGTTAAAGATGGCATCAATTGTTTTGAAAGTTTTTAGGGGAAGTAGCACAGGGGAGTGCCAAAACATGTACAGAAATCTAGGAAGGAGAGTCATTTTAAACAAGGTTTTTTTTCTCCCCATGACGAGGAAGCCTGGCCCAGGATTTGTGTACAGGCCTTCAATAAGCAGGAAAACTGGTTCAATGTAGTATGGAGGATAGTCCTGTAGCTTTCTGGTGACACATACCCCTAGATATCGGATAGCTGCCACTTTGCATAACGGAAGGGAGGTGGAGGGGCATGATGGGGGTATGTATCCAAGGGGAGGATCTGTGATTTACTCTTATTAATGCATAACCCAGAATGTGCCCCAAAACTCTTTAGTAACTTGTAGGGTGGCTTGTAGTGAGGGGCCAGTATCTTCTAAATAAAGTATCATGTTGTCTACATACATTCCTATAGTTCGGGGACCCGACTGAAGACCCCAGATATTGAGATGTAGTCAAAGCATCATAGCCAGGAGTTCGGTTGCAAGGGCATTTAGTAATGCAGGTAGAGGGCACCCTTTTCGGGTTCCTCGCCCTAAAGGGAAGAAGTCTGACATCCATCCATTCACATAAACCTGGGCTGTAGCAAACGTGCGCATCAGAGATGGACGCAGATTCCCCCTTTATTAAAAGTATTAATTTATCCCTTATTCTCCTTCCCCCTCCCTTTCTGAGAGGCACAGTGACAGATGTGCGCGTGTTAAAAGTGTCACAAGCCAGATCCCAGCAGGGAGCCACGTGGTGCCATACTGCCTGGAGAACCTGTGTAATTTCACACCTCGGGAAAAGATAAAGGAGCCTTCCCAAGAGTTCAAGGCATTTCCAAGAAGCACAAACCAGATAACATTTTTAAAAGATCCAGTTTTCCCCTACGTTTCATATCTTGAAATATGGAAGACTTACATAAAAACTGGGCACTTCGTCAGATGGCGAATGCGCAGACGAACATTTTGATGGGTCACTCATCCACCTCAGATCATCAGGGGAGCCAAAACATAGAACTCGTACACCGTGTAACGTACAATTTCATAATTCATATCCACCTGATCCTTAGACTTATCGGTGTAATAATATACCCGCGGGGGAACTATCGCTCGTGCAGCTGAGAAGCTATAGACCAGAATATGAATTATGAAAGATGTTGGTTCTAATTTAGGGTTCCGCCCGACGATCCCTCCCTAAACAGAGTATTGGTCAGTTACTCAGAGCCACCCCCCTGCTGGGGGACTTTAAAACACAGGCCTAAAGAGTTGAAAACATCTCCTATCTTTCCATCGTAACATATGGAGATCAAACCGCGCTTCTGCTCTGAAACTTGGATCTGCTGACCCAGGGCTTTGGCAAGTACTTTAACTCTTCCCTTTCTCTCTGATATCTCTTTGCTGTGCTATGGTTCTTTGTGTGTATATATATCTTAGTTACATCTACTGTAAATATTTTTATTGCACCTGTTTGACCCTTTTAGTAATAAATCTTCCTTTGTGAAAGTGTTGAACTGTTTCTATAGCCTTAATTGCAATTTATGAATCCCTGCCTTTTAAGAGAACGCTGTACTGTTTTGTTTTAACCTCTGTATAACCGGCCTGCGGACCATTTTATATAGACAATTATTTCACTCATTATAGTGTATTAGCTGAACCCCGAGTTTCCTCTTTCTCTGTACAAAAAGGAGGTGGTGGCAGTGTGAAAGGGTTAGTTGCGTAATTAACCCGACCCAGTAACAAGCGCATTCAGGCTACAGGCACCGATTGTAGTCCATTAGCTGGAAAATCGCTGTGCAGGGTGCAGCTGGGTGTGGCATTGTTACTCACGTCACATCGCGGTGTAAGATTGGCTAGTCCTTCGGTCATGAGTTTGGTGAGAAGGTCTGGGGTCTGACGCCGCGATTGTGACATATTGGACATCGCGGTCGTGTGATCGTCGCATGTTTAGGGTGGCGATCGTGCGCCTGTATCATGTGCCACTGGAGAACAATAAAGCATTTGTACCCAATTGATAAAATTGGGTCCAAAACCCTTTAGAGATTCCCAAAGGTATTCCAACACCAAGGAATGTAATCAAATGCCTTAGAGGCATCCAACACCACCAAAGCTCTGGTACCCACTTACATCGTGACGGGCCTTGATGTTCATATATAGGCGGCTGATGTTCATTTACTGGGCATGAATCCCATTTGATCAGGGTATATAAGTGAAAAAATAACCTGGTTAAGATATATGGCCAAAATCTTTGCTAGGATTTTGATGTCTACCAGAAGCAAAGAAATGGGGCGATATGATTCAGGGAGATGTGGGTCCTGCAGATTGGGAACCAAAACCTCTGAGTAGCCGAGTAAAAATCAGGCCATCTAGTCCAGGAGCCTTAGCAGGGGCGAGCGTGGCAATGGCAGTGGTGATTTCTGCCAGGGCAAAATCATCACAAAAAAATGGCTTAGACGAGTCACCGTTGTGGTGTGGGGCTCAGAGGATAAGTGAAGGCGGTCTAAGCGGGGTTGAGTATCATATTAAAGTCCCCTAGCCAAAGGTGTAGTGGGGAGTTGCGCCATAAACAGAAGGCCATCACTGACCACCGCAGAGTTATATGTGGAAGGAAAACAATAAGCCAATATTAAATAAGGGCACCCATATACGATCACACGCATGAAAATATATCTGCCCTTAGAGTCTGAGCATATTGTTAACATCTCGAATTGTACAGTTTTTAGCCACTAATACTGAAACTATCTGGGAATATGGGGTATGTGTAGTATGGTAGGCTCAACCTATCCAGGGAGGTTTGAGAGCAATTTGAAGGTGGCCAGTAATGTGTGTTTCAACAAGAACTGCAATATTAGCCAGCTGAGATTAAGGTAAGCACATAGTGTAGAATTGTCATTATCAAGTGCCAGAAAGTACCACATTGCAATGCACCATATATACAGGCATTTATTTTCTGTTGGAAACAAGTACCAAATGTAAATAACCCTTTTCCTCCACCTCCCCAACATGGCAGGAGCATAATACTGAAAACAGAGATCGGCCTGGCTATCAAGGAGAGAGACCATACACAATCATCTGTCCCTGAAGCCAGAGCCTGGAAAACAACTGAGTAATAAGTTCCTAAGGGGACAAAATACTCGCTGGAGTGAGGAATGAACAGCAGGATACATGGTGTGTCTGTAGACTTGAATTCAGTCAAACAGGATCAACCAGGTTCAACAGCAAGCTGTCGCAGAAGAAAAATGGAAAAGCAGAGGCTCCCTGTATAGGACTTTTCCTCAGAGTCCAGATTATTGTGGAAAGGGATGTCCAGGGAGCAGAAGTACTAGGGTGTCTAAATCACCACTAAACAAGTACTTATGGAGGGAGTGTCAGGAATGGACTTGTGGGCTGCAGTACCAGGGCTGGCCAGCGGGTGCTCAGCAATCAGAGACTCAACCCTGCAGTCAGCCAAACACCTGAAAGCTGATTGCAGGTGTATTTAAGGGATGGCCAGACCTGCAGTCTGGGCCTTGGTGTGTGTTTTTCTATGGGACCCTGTATCTTGTTACCTGCATTCCTGTTCCTGTTCCTGCCTGACTGACGTGTTGCTGACCCTGCCTGATCCTGACCTCTGCTGACTTCTCCTGTTTGATCCCTGTCTTGTGACCCTGACCATTCTCTGCCTGCTCCTCATGTACCTACCTGCCCCGATTGTATGTACCTGTGTATCTGTATCAGTTTAGGTTTGTTTCACCTTGTTGTATGTATTTGTGTTAGCTTGGGGTTTGGTGCACTGCGTTTAAGTTTGTATTGTTAGTCTTTAATAAAGCGTCTTTTTTTATACCATATCTGAAGCCTGCATTTCCCTGTGTCAGTCCACATACTTCTGGTCACACCCGGAGCCCTGACATTACACCAAGGCCAAAAACCTGACCAGAAGTGGCTGCACAGGGAGGCCATCTTGGCTTATTGTTGCTGGGAAGGATGGATCTTGATGAGGTTGTGTATTTATCTCTGCTAGTGTTTGATGACAAAGACTATGCTTATCAGACTCTGAAGGAGTATCCCCGGGATCAACTGCTAGAGTGTATAAGGATCGCTCATTGTCTAGTAGATCAGGGCACAGAGTTTTCTGAGGTGCAGCCATTGATCCAGGTTTGTGCTGAGTTGGCTCGGTCCTGTACCCCTGAAAGCAGGGATGACTTTTTTCCCTCATTTAGTGTGGATCAAGTGGAATCACTGGTATGGTTGTTGGAGGATGATCCAGATTGTTTCCATGAGCATTATGCAGCATGTCCATCACATGTGCTTATGGATTGCATAAACGCAGTGCAGTCTTTGTCAGACAGGCTATGTGTAAGTTGAGTTTTGTTAAACCCATACTGCAGACATGGACAGATTTGTTACACCCAGCCTCAGTCGGCTTGCAACATCATTCCTCTGCTCAAGGCACTCTTCCTGCATCCCCGACAGCACCCCCAGTGATGGCCCAGTATACTCTGCTAACTACCACATACCAGTCCTCTGCTCCCACTCGCTGCACCTATCCTTTCTTTAACCCTGTAAAGAAGTCCTCTGTAGCAACAGCTCCCTCCTCTGTTCCATCCTCCAGCTCTTCTCTGTCCTCAGCTGCTCCATTCGTTTACAGACCTGCGTTTACTTGCAGTGCTCCAGTAACTAAAACCAGAAAAAAGCGAAAATTCTTTCCACCAGTATCATCCTGCCAGTATCCAAACCGCCTGATGAACTGATCCAGCCTGATGATCCTATCACGCCTGATGACCCAGTGCCCGCTGTCATGCCTGGTGACCCGATGCCCACTGTCGAGCCAGATGATCCAGCGCCAGATGACCCGGTGCCCGCTGTCGAGCCAGGCAATCCAATGCCTGATGACCCAGTGCCGCTATCATGCTTGGTGACCTGATGCCCACTGTCGAGCCAGACGATCAGGTTCTGATGGTGCCCGTTGTCGTGCCAATTGACTCAGAGCCCACTGTCGTGCCTGGTGACTCGGTGCCCACTGCCTTGCCAGATGATGCGGTGCCCGCTGTCGAGCCAGGTGACCTGATGCCTGGTGACCCGATGCCCACTGTCGAGCCAGACGATCCAATGTCTGACCCGGTGCCCGCTGTCATGCCTGGTGACCCGATGCCCGCTGTCGAGCCAGACGATCCAATGCCTGATGACCCAGTGCCCGCTGTCATGCCTGACGATCCCATGGCCTGATAGGACCCATGACCCGCTGTGATGCCTACTGTCGAGCCAGACGATCCAGCGCCACATGACCCGGTGCCCGGTGCCCGCTGTCGAGACCAGACGATCCGGTACCTGATGACCTGGTGACCCGTTGTCGTCGTGCCGATTGACTCAGAGCCCACTGTCATGCCTGGTGACCCGATGCCCACTGTCGAGCCAGATGATCCAATGTCTGACCCAGTGCCCGCTGTCATGCCAGTGGTGACTCTGTGCCCACTGCCTTGCCAGATGACGCGGTGCCCACTGTTTTGCCAGATGACCTGATGCCTGGTGACCCGATGCCCGCTGTCATGCCTGGTGACCCGATGCCCGCTGTCGAGCCAGACAATCCAACGCCAGATGATCCGGTGCCCGCTGTCGATCCAGACGATCCGGTACCTGATGACCCGGTGCCCGCTGTCGTGCCAATTGACTCAGAGCTCACTGTCATGCCTGGTGACTCGGTGCCCACTGCCTTGCCAGATGACACGGTACCCGCTGTCGAGCCAGGTGACCTGATGCCTGGTGACCCTATGCCCGCTGTCGAGCCAGACAATCCAACGCCAGATGACCCGGTGCCTGCTGTCGATCCAGACGATCCGGTACCTGATGACCCGGTTCCCTGCTGTCGTGCCAATTGACTCAGAGCCCGCTGTCATGCCAATTGACTCAGAGCCCGCTGTCGTGCCAATTGACTCGGTGCCCACTGCCTTGCCAGATGACGCGGTGCCTGCTGATGAGCCAAATGACCTGATGCCTGGTGACCCGATGCCCGCTGTCAAGCCAGACGATCCAAGGTCTGACCCAGTGCCCGCGGTCATGCCAGCTGACTCGGAGCCCACTGTCGTGCCTGGTGACTCGGTGCCCACTGCCTTGCCAGATGACGCGGTGCCCGCTGTCGAGCCAAATGACCTGATGCCTGGTGACCTGATGCCCGCTGTCGTGCCTGATGACCCGGTGCCCGCTATCGTGCCAGTTGACTCAGAGCCCGCTGTTCTGCCTGATGGCCCGGTGCCTGCCGCCCCGCCTGGGGGCATGTGCCTGCCGCCCCGCCTGGGGGCCCGGTGCCTGCCGCCCCACCTGGGGGCCCGGTGCCTGCCGCCCCACCTGGGGGCCCGGTGCCTGCCGCCCCGACCTGGGGCCCGGTGCCTGCCGCCCCGACCTGGGGGCCCAGTGCCTGCCGCTCCTCCTGGGGGCCCTGTGCCTGCCGCCCCGCCTGGGGGGCCCGATGCCTGCCGCTCCGCCTGGGGGCCCGGCGCCCGCCGCTCTGCCTGGGGGCCCGGCGCCCGCCGCCCTGCCTGGGGGCCCGGCGCCCGCCGCCCCGCCTGGTGGCCCGGTGCCTGCCGCTCCGCCTGGTGATCCGGTGTCCAGCCCGATGGGCCTCTGCCCAGAGTCCAGCCCGATGGGCCTCTGCCCGGAGTCCAGCCCGATGGGCCTCTGCCCGGAGTCCTGCCCGATGGGCCTCTGCCCGGAGTCCTGCCCGATGGGCCTCTGCCCGGAGTCCAGCCCGATGTGCCGGTCTTTGATATCCCGCCAGTTACCAGACCCGGGCGGTGGAACATTTTGCCTAGCTAGGACTGTTTGGAGCGTCCTGAGGCTGCTCCTTGAGGGGGGGGGTACTGCCAGGAATGGACTTGTGGGCTGCAGTACCAGGGCTGGCCAGCAGGTGCTCTCAGCAATCAGAGACTCAACCCTGCAGTCAGCCAAACACCTGAAAGCTGATTGCAGGTGTATTTAAGGGATGGCCAGACCTGCAGTCTGTGCCTTGGTGTGTGTTTTTCTATGGGCCCCTGTATCTTGTTACCTGCGTTCCTGTTCCTGCCTGACTGACGTGTTGCTGACCCTGCCTGATCCTGACCTCTGCTGACTTCTCCTGTTTGATCCCTGTCTTGTGACCCCGACCATTCTCTCCGCCTGCTCCTCCTGTACCTACCTGCCCGATAGTTATCGACCCGGCCTGCCTGACTACGTTGTGCTCTATATGTGTATGTACCTGTGTATCTTTATCAGTTTAGGTTTGGGTTTGTTTCACCTTGTTGTATGTATTTGTGTTAGCTTGGGGTTTGGTGCACTGCGTTTATGTTTGTATTGTTAGTCTTAATAAATCGCCTTATTTATAACATATCTGAAGCCTGCGTTTCCCTGCGTCAGTTCACATACCTCTGGTCATACCCGGAGCCCTGACAGGGAGATTGCTTATACAAGCTAAGGATGAAGTTCTCATGAAGAAGATGAAGTCCAGAGAGAGCTGTACATACTTGAAAAGGACAGGGCGGCTAGAAAGGAAGGCATCTTACTCACAGCATCCAGGAGGTATGATCAAGCAGGACGATTTCTATCTCGTTAATGAAGGTGAGCAGGGAACAACATGGTGCACTTCAGATGGTGGACGCAAAGGCACTGTTTAACATCTATTAGGCATAAGCATTGCTTCTGGACCTCTGCCGAAAAGTCCAGGAACACCAACACGCAAACATTTTGGAATGGGATGTTGCACTTTTCCCTGGTTAGCTGGAGAACAGCTCAGTCCCTGTAAGTCAAGAGCTTAGCTATAAAGGTGTGGGTCGGTGCGCCCTCCGGGGGCTGACGAGCCAGCATACGGTGTGCGCACTCTACTAAAAAGGTGTTGGAGAAGGCCGCCCTGCCAAAGGTGGTAATTAGGAGGTTCTCCAGGAAAGTAGCAGGGTCAGGGCCTACTGTGCCCTCAGGGAGGACAATGATGCAAAGATTACAGCACCGAGCACTGTTTTTCAGGTCATCTTGCTTTTGGGCTAGTTGTTGAAGCTGGCACTGTATAGGTTCAGAGTTGTGCTGTAGTGGATGTCTTCCGCGCAACTAATTCGGGCCTCAGTAATCCAGTCTTGGAGCTTGTGCATGTCCTGGTAGATAAGAGATGCAGTATACTGTATATATTGTGACATTATGAAAGACGAGGTGATCGATGGACGCTCTGTGTCACCTCTCATGTGGTCATACCTAAGACATTAAGGTGGAGTCCAGTCCGGGTTTTTCCAGGCCACTATGGCAGAGGTGGTTCCGGACTGGATTTTATGGTCCACTGGTGACCACCAGCAGGTGGTATAAATAAGGCAGGAATGGAGCAAGAAGTTGCTCTTGGATGGGACTCAGAGAGTCATATCTTACTGAGCTGTGGATGAAAGTTTGCATTCTACAAGAAAAGAAAAGGTTTGCGTACGGTTTTGATTTTGGTTGACGACAGAGAGAAGCCCTTCACTGGTGAGATAGGAATTTCCTGTGTTTAGTTAGTGCCTGGATGGCGAGGATGTACATTCTGTTTTTTTTTTGTTTTTTTTTTTACCAGCACAGGGGGCTTCAGGGAAAATCAGGGGTCTAAGCAAACCTCTCACTGATGAACAGGAAGTCCTCTATACAGAACTTTTACTTTTCATTTACAAATTGAACTGATAGGGAATACAGTTTTTCTATGCTTCTCTTATGAATGAATATTGGAGTGATCAGTACTGATGGTGGTGGTGGTAGGAACGGGGGAGATGGGTATCATTTCAATTAAATAATTACAATCAGAGGTGTCTATGCTATTATCGTATATACTCGAGTATAAGCCGAGTTTTTCAGCACATTTTTTGTGCTGAAAAACGCCCCCCTCGGCTTATACTCGAGTCAACGTCTGCAGATGTCTAGCAGGGGGCGCTGCTTCTAAAGCCAGTGCTTCTCAAATAGTGGGGCGCGTCCCCCAGGGGGGGCGCGAGGCTCCGTCAAGGGGGGCGCGTACAGGGGTGGGCAGAGGGCTGCTGTCTCTTACCTGGCTCCCACGATGATCCATCCAGGAAGCGCTGCTCCTTCCGTCACTCCGGCCACTCCCTCACTCCTGCCGCTCGGCTCCGCCTCCTCACCGGTGATTGGCCGCCAGAACTGTAGCTCAGGAAAGGTACACAGGCGGCCAATCACAGGCGAGGAGGCGGAGCCGAGCGGACCCGCGAAAATCGAGTGAGGGAAAAGCCGGTAAGTGTGCAGTGCAGAGGTGCTGCTGCAACCACATATGCTGGCTGCAGCAGCACCATACTGCAACAGGGGTCAGCAAGTGTCATTGGTGTCAGTGGGGAGGAATAGTGCCGCATCATTGATGTCACTGATTCCTACTAATGATGGGGGCATTATTCCTCCCACTGACACCAATGATGGGGCACTATTCCTCCTCCCACTGACACCAGTGATGGGGCACTATTCCTCCCACTGACACCAGTGATGGGGCACTATTCTTCCCCTGACACCCCACTGACACACAACTGATGGGGCACTATTCCTCCCACTGACACCAATAATGGGGCACTATTCCTCCCACTGACACCAATAATGGGGCACTATTCCTCCCACTGACACCAAATGGGATGTTCCTCCCACTGGGCACACTATTCCTCCACTGACACTGATACTAATGATGGGGCTTATACTCGAGTCAATAGCACTATTTTTCCCAGTTTTTTGTGGGGTAAAATTAGGTACCTCGGCTTATATTTTTGTGGGGTCGGCTTATACTCGAGTATATACGGTAGTTAAATCAGCAGAGCCAGGGAGGCAATTCGACTAAACGGTCAACCATGAGATTATAGCAGAAGAAGGAATGCCATGGACTTACTGACCTGGCCAGCTGGAAGTGTTCTTGTTCTTTCATACAACCTTGTTCAGCCTTACAACCATGACAACAAAAGCACCTATCAACATCTATATTGACAGGCAGCATTGCAATATACTATACACTGCTCCAAAAAATTAAAGGCAGACTTTTTAATCAGAGTCTAGCATCAAGTCAATGAAACTCCTGGGATATTGATCCGGTCAGGTAACTCGCAGAGGGGGATGGTAATCAGTTTCAGCTGCTTTGGTGTAAATGAAATTAACAACGGGTGCACTAGATGAGCAACAATGAGACAACCCACAAAACAGGAATGGTTTTACAGGTGGAAGGCCACTGACAATTTTTTCCCTACTCATCTTTTCTGACTGTTTTTCACTAGTTTTGCATTTGGCTAGGGTCAGTGTCACTACTGGTAGCATGAGGCCATACCTGGACCCTACAGAGGTTGCACCACAGGCAGTCCAACTCCTCCAGGATGGCACATCAATATGTGTCATT